TTATCTCGTTTTACAAATGGCTTCCGGATAAATCAGCTTGCCTCAGTCTAAATTAATATGAAATATTCTGAAGCACTACCGGTTACTTATCCAAAACGACACGACAGAGTAAAGAGTAAAAAGTTTGTATTGAACTCTGATAGATTATTTATTTATTTATTATAATAAAAATGGCGGCATACAACGTTTCTCAACCGACGGGAAAAGTTGGATTCTTCTTCCATTTTTTTTTTTATCCAAACTGCTACGAAATAAAAACAGTATTCGTAATGTTATCTGGAAATATCCAAGTTTAATACCATCCCAAATTCTCGTTAACATCTGTTGTCTAATCTTTCATTCATTTAATATAGTAAGTAATTAAATTAGACATGTAGATGTTTGAATAAATATGATTTTTTTTCTTTATATAAAATCCTAACACTAATCATCGAAGTATTCTATGACCTTACGCCATTATTCAACTATTCTGTGTATAGCAATATAAAAGAACGATTCCACTTTTGTTTCGAGAAATTCTTTAAGGATTTATTCGATATCTTGAAATTATCATAACTGCTGATCAGAAAAAAATCACTAGTGTGAAAAATACGTGGTAGAATTCCTCATTGTTTACTGTGCCTCGTTTGTGACATTAGTAAGGGGTTATCAGTCAGATAAATATTCAGTCAAATTCATTTAACAGAAAACGCCATTTACTTACTGTAGATTGGCGCAGTAAGTTCTTCTAGGATCCAGCAATTCACAATAAATAATATAATCTTGAATATCGTCAGGCACATAGAAAGCTTTCTTATATTTCTCCATAATTTGCTTCGTTTTGAATCGCCATAAAAAATTATCATTTTTTACACTATTTACTTTCGGACTGTTCTCCTTATCTTTGTTGTTGTTATCACAGCGTTTCGATCGTTGTGCTCCCCGACCTTCATCAGGTGTATATCGATCCGGGTAAACTACATGGAATTCTGTACTGAACCCTTTATTTAAACTATTGAGCAGATTGTTCTCGTTCCACTGCCCATGCCTCGGGATATCTTGTTTAACTTCTTATTTTTTAGTACAGTTCAGTCATTGCTCGCCCTGTTTCCACTGAGTACGCACTGCCCGGCTCAGGGATTAAACTCACAATTACTATGCAGCAACTTTACGAAACAACGCTTTAATTTCTAGACACGGCAGTTGAACAAGAATATTCTACTCCCGTGGATTAAATAAAGTGTTCCGTTCAGAATTCTCTGTATGTTACCCGGATCGATATATACCTGATGGAGGCCGGAGTACACAACGATCGAAACGTTGTGATAAAAACAACAAAGATAAAGACAATAATCCGAATGTAAATAGTCTAAATAATGATAAATTCTCATCCCAGAAATTCAGAGAAATTAATATTTTGTCATCACACGTGACTATGATGTCCAAAAGTTTTCAATGTCGAGTAAGAAAAGTCAAGATCGATATTCCTTTCCATCGGTTAATCTTGAGTCCAGTTGCCTAGCTTCTGAATTCGCCCAGATGCTTGTAAATGATAAGTTACAGCCAACTGGCAACACTTGCAGCAACGAACTGAGTAAACGTCAAAGAAACCTCTAATGTTTGCGTAACATCTTTCAAAAGATGGTGCTGGAAACTTCTTCACCAAGTTATTTATATATATATATATATATAAAATAGAAATTATTGGGGGATTTTAATAACCATATTAAAGGAATTCATCGAGTCTAAATGAATCCTCAATAAAATGCAGAAAGCAGTGGACGACCTATTCTGAGACCAATCAGCAGTGCGCATCCACTACCGAGAATCGAACCCGGACCGTTACGATACGACGCAAGCATTATACCCACTGAGCCAACGGAGAGGTAACTAACTAGACTCGATATAGCGCCGCTCTCACTAAATCCCGTGGTGTAACTCATCTAAGTATACTTAACCCACGGATTATGCCCCCATGAATCACGTCTTCTTTCCCCAAGCCGCTCCCAGAGCATTAGAAACCGGTTCAAGCAAGGATATACAAGTGAAAGAAATTACTGGGGGTGGGGGTTGATATATATATAATTTAACCCCATGTAAAGAAATAAAGCAACTAAGACACAAGGGGTTACTGAGTGTGAAAGAATAAAAAAAAACGTGAAAAAGATGGCAATAGATGTAGATTAAAAATTTTGAAGATCATAATTGGCTGGAAAGCATAGAACCGGAAGGGAATTACACAAGCGATAGAAGAAACTTCTAGCATAGAACTTACGGTTACATCTAACTAATTCAACAATTAACTGATAAAACCTTGCTGCCAATCTAGCACTGCTCTTAAATTCATAAAGTTTAGGTATCATCGGGGAAAGTTCATCTGAACAATTACCATGTAAGTATTTATAGAAAAGACACAAGGAAGCTACTTTATATCATTGAGAAAGTGACTGAAGGCGAAATGCCAGGTCAGGACCAATAACATTGCAGATTCTTATTTGGATTTTAACAAGAATCTCTAAATATAAATATACAGCAGGAGCACCGGACCAGATTTGGTAGCAATATTCAAAGCATGAGCGAATGGTAGATCTATAAATATATGTTATGGGACCTTACCCATAATAACATAATGGATACGTAATAAATACTGCACCCTCAAGAGGAAGCAGGGAGTGCCGTCTGAAGTCTGGAGTGAAGTCCGTCACGAGTCTGTCAGTCAGTCAGAGCGAGTCAGTCAGTCGAGTCAGAGGCAGTCCGAAACAGAGTCGCGTTCAGACAATTAATACTAAACCTGATTGTTCGTACTAACACTTTTCTACCTCTCTGTATATATTCCTGTTTGTAATATATCTGTGTTATTCCATATCCGTATTCGAGTTCTTTATTGGTTCTACCTTGGACTATCACCGTGGTACAAGGAACCGGACCATAACAATATGTCAGATAGATTCTGGCAAGAAAAATTGTCTAGCATGACATAGTGAACTAATTTTCCTAGCAGCAGACCTAGTAATTGATTCAATGTAATCTTTCCACTTCATGTCAGCCGACAATATTAGACCGAGAAGGCGCAACGAGTCATTCTCCTGGCGGTTAGCATCAACCAAGCTGATGAGATGCATAAACAGGTCTTAGACGATTAACAACGGATTGTAGACCATTCTTTTAGATCGGCTGCCAATTTGACCATATCGATCTAATTAGACTTACTATCCAAATAGCAGTAAATGGTTGTGTCATTAGCATAGATAACGAGTTGAGAACTGACATCTTCAAGAAGGTCATTAATGAAAATTAAGTACAAAGATAGAGTCATTGGGGTACACCTGAATTAATACAAAAAGATTGAGAAGATTGGCCGTTCAAAATAACTTTCATTTTGTGATTTGATAAGAATCAGTTCATAAATTCGTCCGGAGACTCCATAACAGTTCAACTTGTGAAGAAGACAAATCTTGTCAAACGCTTTCCAGATATCCAGTGCAACAGCCTCAGCGTCATCATTCTTATCTAAACTCTTTCATATATATATATATATATATATATATATATATATATATATATATATATATATATATAGAAATATAGTCTTAAGATGTGCTATATTTATGGGATAAAGTGCTCAATATCAGAGATAGAGCGTGTGTAAATATAGAAGACAACATTTAGAGGCGACAGTCTGTTTCATGCTAGACGCAATCGTCAGGCTCTGAGTTCTGTTATTTTTCTCGCCTATTTATATATACAGGTCAGTGGTGCTTTGTGGGTAGTCTATTTTGGCGGTTATTTTACTGGAAGTCGTTTATTTGTTTATTTATTTATTTGGGTTAAATTATTTTGCTTGTTTTTTATTTATTTTTTATTTTTATTTCTTATCTTATATATTTATTTATTATTTTTATTAGTCGGTGTTTTTATTAACGTAGTAAAAATGTTTATATCACTATTAAATAAATAGTTTTGTTTTGATTTGGGAAGATAATTAAAGCTATTTATTCAACTTTGGGGTTGATTGTTGTAGTTTATTCTAACTATTATTTTGGCGGGAGTAGTTTCTCATTTGTTTAATATTTCATGTATTTATTTGGATTAATTATTAATTTGTTTTTTCTAACCGTTACTTTATCGGGATCGGTTTGTTAGTTTATTTATTTATTTGGATGAATTTAGATTAATTTATTTTACTTGTTTTTTTTTATTATTTATTTATTATACTGTATATTTTTATTTACACTTTTCGGTTTTCGATTTTTAAGTAACGTAGTATTTATTTTTCTTTTATCTTTATATAACAGTTATAGCTATTTTTTCGTAGCCTTTAAGTGTTGACTTCTATGTTCATATATATATATATATATATATATATATATATATATATATATATATATATATATATGTTCAAAAGTTTGAAGCCACCTCTGATAATTCTTTAAATTGGCTCCAAAAGTATCTGTTTGGTACTTTAAATAAGAAAAAATATTATACATGATTAAAAAAGTGAGAGATGATTTCTATTAGAAATTTTATGATAAAAAAGAATAAAGCATTTTATGATTAAATTTTACTCTCGCCAAAATATTCTCCTTTAGCCTTGATTACTGTAACCCAAATGTTTGGCATTCGTTGCAAAAGTTTCTCAAAGAATAAGTTTGATAATTGATTCCATTCTTTTTTCAATGACTCTAAGAGCTTTTACCTTTTTTTTAAACTCTTCTGTCAAGTTCATCCTATGCTAATTCTGGGGTGTCATCAGACTTTTGAACTTGTGTCTGTATATATATATATATATATATATATATATATATATATATATATATATATATATATATATAAATTTTGAGAACAGCGATAAAAGTTGACTGGAAAGAGGCCATGACCAAGTCTCTGAGAACCTATTAATGGTTATGGTTACAATCTGTGAAAAGCGTATCCGGTGTAGTGACCATTACTAGCGAATTTAAAAAGCGCATTGGATTATAGGATTCAAATTATGGGAAAAGATCAAGAGGCAGGTCAGCAAGAATCTTTATTGGTCAATTCGTAATCGACACTGAAATTCTTTTTTCCTTCCAACATTTATTCCTTTTATCACTCCTTCCTTCTCTTATCTTTCTTTCCTATCATCATACTTTCCTTCTTTTCACCTTTCTTTCCTTCTTTGCTCTTTCCTTTCATTTTTTCTTTTCTGATTCTTTCCTTCCATCTTTTCGCCTTTTTTCCTTTCGTCATACCTTTTCTTCTTCTCTCTCCGTTCCCTTCTCTCGTTGTTTTCTCATTTCCATCTTTCTTCATTTATCTTTTTCTATCCTTTTCTCTCTCATCATTCCACCCGTCATTCTTTCCTTTTATGTTTTTTCTTTGATCATTTCTTTCTTTCTTTCTTTCTTTCTTTCTTTCTTTCTTTCTTTCTTGTCGTCATACGTTCTTTCCTTCTATCTTTTCCCCATCATTCCTTTTTTTTCTTTACACCTTTTTTCTTTCCTTCACTCTTTCCTTCCTGTCATCATTATTTACTTCTTTCTTTCCTTCCTTCTTTCCATCAATCCTTCCTTCTTTTCTTCGATCATTTCTTTCCGTCATACTTCTTTCTTTCTTTCTTTCTTTCTTTCTGTTGAAGCTTGGATAAGCATGGAATAATAAATAAAAATAATACAACACAAAATGTACGTAAACAAAATGTATTGAAACAAGGAAAAGGTACACAATATTTACAGTTAGTTTGGTATATTCTTGGGAAGACTGTTCCTGTAGAATGGGTTGACTTAATCGCAGTCGGGCAGAGTCTCTGGATTGGATCTCTTGTTACTTCCCCCGTCTTCCCGGTACCAACCCATATGGTCGGTACTCCACTATGTAAATTAGGTGGATCGTACCACAACACTTTCTTTCTTTCTTTCTTTCATTTTGTCCTTGTCTTTCTCTTTCCTTCCACACGTCATTTTTCCTTCTTTTCTTTCTATCATTTCCTTTTAATTCCTTCCATATTTTTCGTTCATCATTTCTTCGTACTCTTTCGTTCTGCGAGAAATTCTCCTTCATTACAGTTTTCCTTCGTTCATTGTCCCCCGCCCCACATCTTTTCGTTCTTTATTCCCTTTTCTTTTTTCGTTAATTAAATTTTTCCATATTTCAATTCCATTTCTTAATTTCTTTCTATTATTGCATAGTAATTTTTTCTTCTTCTCTCTCTCTCTCTCTCTCTCTCTCTCTCTCTCTCTTTCTCTGTCTTTCTGTTTTTCTTCACCTGTAAGCTTCAATCACCCACTGCCCATTATCCCTCCAAGCCAAGCAGATATTTGACAACTTTGGATCAACACTTTAGATTGTCCTGTGTATCAAAGTCCCCAAACCAATTTCATCAAATTCTCGGCCATTCTTCCCAGGAGAACTATGCGTTGAACATCAGTTTATTTTAGGTTATTGTGATAGAACACTAGCACACACGCATGAACAGCCGATGGTCGGTATTTGATCCAATGATAAAGTCAAGATTTTGAATTCTGATTTTCAGGTAGACCTCTCTCCCCCGGGAGGATTGACACAACTGAATCTTCTTAACACATCCCTTTACATGTTTGTTTTGTGACGCATTGAACTAAAATCAGATGTAATTTACTAAGCTTATTTTAATACATGGCTACACGTATATGCGACACAATAGAACCCTGACAGATTCGCTTGGAGCACCCACGAAGTCAGTTGGGCTGTAAATGATGCTATCTGAGGATAGTCTTCAAACAGCCAACAGTAAAATCGAGATATGGGCGTTAAATACCTACCACACACTGTCTTGAGTAAAAGAAATAAAGTAAACAGATAAATGAAACTTTTCGGGGTAAAGTACAACTCCATCGGAAGGTAGGGAAATCCGATCATGCGGTTATATAATCAGAATTCTATGATGGCCAGAAAAAGTTAACTTCGGTGATTCAACGTGATGTGACCGTAAGTCGAAAGAGAGAGAAGTAAAATAAGAAATCGTTGTCAAAAAATGAAAACACAAATATAGGTTGTTGGCAAAAAGCGAAATCTGAACGAGAAAAGAATTTTTTAAATCTATTTTCATTTATTAATCTTTATTCCCGTCTATCTTTTGTTTCGTTTCGCCTAATAAAAACACTTTTAAGGTTTTCCGATGGTTTTTGTAGAGTTAAAGTGTAAGAAAGAGAGAATATTTCTAGTTTTCATTTCTTCGTTACAGGCAATTGTATATCCGTGAAATAGTCACAACTTAATACTACGGACGTAACCAAATAGCTGAAAAAAATGAATTATAAACATATATTGTTCCCAAAAAGATATTTTATAATATATATATATACCGTCATCCACAGACAGACTGTTTCGCAGCTCATCAGTGTGGCTAGACATCCGGTTGCCTCTAGCTAGGATCGAAACCCGACTGAATTGGTGTCAGTCGGAGATTCTAACCAGTAAGCCGTCGGCACACGGTAGGGATGAAAGTTAATTTTTAGCGTATTTATTTTTAGAAACACGCCCAGATACTTGTTACTAGTTTGTCCTACACACAGAAATTATAACATACGAATAGAAATAGTTTGAAAGGGGCGAAAAGCGAAAGAGTCAGGAAGGGGAAAAGGACAGGACGGTGGTGTCCTTTATGTACCTGGTGATACCATGAGGTTTCCTTTGCTCTCTTAATTGCCGTGGGCGGTCATGTCTTACTTCTCTGCTGTCTACATAGCAATTTGTGTGAGAAGACATGTCTTGCCTCTAGGCATGCTAAATAGCAACTGGCGTTCGTCATTCTACGAACTGAAGTCACCCACTGGTCGTCACGTAACACTCGTGAACTCGTGCCATAGAAACATATGTGACGAAAGCGTAGGTGTTACATGGCTGGTGTAACAAAACTTGTACTGTCATCATCAGGCATATAGACAGCCTAAATCTATAAGTAATAGTATTTATTGATATTTAATGTATCAATTATACAGTTACATTTAGGGTCTTTGTTTAATGTTCCTTTTTATGCTCCCTTATTTCATGAATGAATCTGACGAGAATCCTCATCTTTAATAAAAATCAGGTTTGTAAGATACGTGTCGACTAGTGAATTGTTTACATTTCAGATCATTAGGGTTGAAGTGTTTTGACATATTTTGTAGAGTTTAATTATTGCGAGGAGGGTGGCATGTTAGGCTTTCTGCCTTGAGAAGGCCTCTTAAGTTTGGCTGGAGTATTATTACTTTATCAGCTTCAGGTTGAAATGACGACTGTTGAATTCATTCTAAAATTCTCTTTACGTTTAGATACGAAATTGTGCAGATATGAAAAACTTCGAAAGATTCTATGATAGGAAGAATTTCGCATTAAATTTGGCTTCGCTTCCCCGACTGCTCTTCGTGTCCAAGTTGGTTTAGGCGTGCTGGGCTTAACGGTAGCTTCCTCTACTCGCAGGTTCAAATCCTGCCAGAGATAGCAATTTTTTCTTTAATATGATTTCTCGAACATTCAAGCCGGTAAACAAAAATAAATAAATAAACAATTTAATACACAAACGGAGCGTCTATTCAAATAAGAGTACCCACTAAAAATAACGTTTAAAGGGATAAAAATAGTGACTGCTGTAGAATTTCAATTTCGGCCGTCTTTGTGAGGAGGTCAAATTTAGGCTCGAAATGGCAATTTGGCCCTAGAATTCAGAATTTCTTCTGTTCATCTGTTAATTTATGGCTGGATAGATTTATATATTTATCACTGTTATTAGGAAATAGAATATTTCCTCGGTGTAAGTTGCAATGTTTTTAGTAATGATTTGTCTGCGTTTAAGTTCGTCACCATTAATACTTGGAATGAGATGTTACTGTGCTTCGTAATATTCCCATTCAGTCAAGGCTTTTTTAGTATCTCATTATGTTTATTATTGCATTATTTAAATGTTGTATTTATTTTTTTTTTTAGCTGTTATTTGTCGTAAAACAATGTCTTTCCGAATGTTGTGGAGTTACTTCCCTTGTTGACTGCCGGGTCATGTGATTTAATAATTGTGAATTTGAGCAGCATTTTCTCTTTTATATAAGTTCTATTAAAGACGACTGATTGTATTTGGAAGACAAAATAAAACAAAAATATTCTCATCACTATAGGTAGGCATATATATTATAATTTTATCATATAGACAAAAACAGTTTACTCACTACAACGATGCAAGTTCATTTCGGTGCATTTCAACTGCACTTCGACGGGTGAGAACCGATAATGGTTATGAACAGTCCCGCTAGTAGGCAAATGGTATGTGAAATGTCACTGTCTTTTATTTTCCATTTGTTTGAGAAAAATATACATAAAACAAAAAGGTGACGGGGTGAAACAATAATGCTTATTGATAGCAGTTTGGTGAAGGATGGATGGGGTGTTGAATTCTGGCTAGTCTGGGAAGATTCCTTATGGATAGCCACGGTCAAAAGTTTAGGCACATCAACCCACAAGCGTCCTAAGAGTGATGGGTGGAGGAGGAGGAGGAAAGGTGGGAATAGGAGAGAGTAATACGATGGAAGAGGTAGGAGGGATAAATTCTAGCGATAGGTATAGTTATTGGGAATACTTTTCTTTTTTTTTTGGTTTACTATAAAAAAAATAAACCAAGCTAAAGCTGAATTTCATATATTTAGGTTGGAGTCATCACTACTAATTCTGTCATCAATGGAAGTGTTTTGTAAATTAATAAATTTAGAAATGGTGATTTCTTCTTGGTATGTTGGATATATAAGTTTAGGGATGAATAAGTGATTTAGAAATTAAATAGTAGAAAAAATATGGGATAATAATATAACTTTTATAATCTAATTTTGACCTATTTTCGGACAGTATAACGTGTAGAATAAGTATGGATGTAAAACAATTTATCTGAAAGTATTACTAGTAATATATATGAAAAAAGGGGGAAATATTTTAAGAATCCTAATCTAAGATATATTAGTAGAGAGGTACATAAGAAGATAGGAAATATATCAAAGGAGGTGAGTTATAATTTTAAACATTTAGAGTTATGAATTAAGAATTTAGCAAGATTGTAATGTTATATCTGTAATATACCTACAAAAAACAGTGGTTTCATATCTTTGGTTTAATAAGTGGGTGTTCAATAATACTTGTTTTCTCCTGCAAACATTAAAAGCAAGGTTCGCTCAGAAAATTGCAAATTCTGATTTGTTTTAGGATTTTCCATTTAACCGTAGGTGTTTTTCCTTCCTCCATCAGTTTCCAAAAATATTTCGAAAGTGATGTCCTATTGCGTTTGCCTGCATTTGTAAAGGATTTTATGTGATTATAATATCCTTAAAAGTTCTGCTAGTTGATCGCACATGCAGCTTAATATCTCTGGTGTTCTCATTTGATGAGATATATCATATATACACTATGGATTTCGTTAAGCACCTGTTTAATAATGGACATTGGTCAGGGATTCTGCAATTACATATCTCTTTTTCTTGGGGTGTATTAGAATTTTGGTTTAGGTTGCGTTTATTATCGTTATGAATTTTTTTTTCTCAAACAAATTCACATACGGTTTGCTTACAAGCAGAATTGTTCATAACTATCTTTGGTTCTCACCAGTCGAGGTCCAATTGAAAGGCACCGAAACGAAGTTGCATCTTTGTAGTGAGTAAACTGTTTTTTTTTTTTTTTTTTCTATGATAAAATTATAATAAATAATTATCTCTCTACTATCGGTATCGAGCCCTCTTTTTGCATTAATGCTGTGAACGTTAGAATTTATATATTACTTTCGTTCTCATTCCATCGGATTCCATATATATATATATATATATATATATATATATATATATATATATATATATATATATATATATATATGGGGGGTGTAGTATCACCTGCCAACAGAGTCACATCCATGGTCACGGTCACCAATTAATATAACGCCTATCACCGACGCCTACACCCGGTGATGTAACCATTTTTGGTGCTCCTGTTCTCAGGGTCATAGGACGACGTTTCAACCAAGAGTCTAACTCTGTGATGATCAATGCTGACGATGGTCCAAGATGGTTGTTGGTCGCTGGCCGTTTCGATCCACACCAACTTTGCTGACGTTGTATTTTTGAGAGCAGTGTCAAATCAAATGTCGTCGTAATGGCAGCGCTGGTTCAAGCCGTAGCGGTTGCTACATTAAAGAAGAAAAAAAAAACGATAGATTCATGGGGTTAATCTTTAATTGGGTTTTATCGCTCTCGGTACAACAAAAATTAACTCTTCCCACATCAATCTCTATAGTGACACTGGCCTTTTTATAAATGACAGGATAAAATCTTTAACCCTGATCTTTTCATCAAATGTGGCATCGGTGGTATCGAATCTCTTCTAATGCAATCACAGTTCAGATGGGTTGGTTATGTCATCAGAATGAGTGATGATCGGATACCAAAAATCCTAATGTATAGCCAACTTTTTTATGGTAAACGTAATGTACAGCGTTCTTGGTTACGCTTCCAGGACAAACTTAAATACAATTTAAATGCTGCAAACATCACTATAATGGAGTTCGAACTAGCTGTTGAAAACCGAGCAAACTGGAGAAACACTCGCTATCGATGCGTAACTAACTTTGAAAAGAATCGATTCAGCCATCTGGGAGAATTAAGAACCAACACCAAATCTCGGGCGAATACATCAGGCCATATGACGGTCAACCCTTCATCAGCATGACCCCCGTTTGACTTGTTTGCAAATACCGTGTAGGACTGTTGTCTCATACAAGACAAACATAAAAAAATGAACTGAAACACACTCATACACCGAAAACGGCAGGAGAGTCCAGTATATATATATATATATATATATATATATATATATATAATTAAACCTAAAGAGCCATACAAACCTACCAAGGTTTCACCTAAGCGGATCGTCAGGGAAAGCTGGCTAAAGAGATTATATTCCGTTTTTACGTCACCTCTGGCTCTTTAGGTTTAACTAGATCTGCTCTACTTAACGTATTGAGCACTTTATTTAGTTATTTTGCTTACTTGTATCAGGGTTTGTTTCTTTGGACTTTGTACTTGGATTATTTTCGGCTGACGTACATGTTCGTTGTTGTTTCTTTTTTTTATACCTTTTTTCTCCTTTGGTATTGGTTTGATTATTTGCAAATCAAGACACCGAACGAATGTTACCGGACGAGTATAATTTCTTATGCCTATAAGATTATTACTAGTATATATATATATATATATATATATATATATATATATATATATTATCCCTCACAGCTTGCATGACTCTGAGTTTCATGGACGACGTAATATATATATATATATATATATATATATATATATATAGAAAAAGTTTCAAATTAAAAAATAATAATGTTTTATTTTATGAAAGTATTTATTTATTTATATATATATATATTTGATATTTCCGATTGCCCTCAATCTTTCATCAGAAATAACTGTTTGTTACAAATAAATTAAAATTACTGTTTGTTAGCCAGTAGCGTCCGTCGTGAGACGCGGACGTCACGTGATATGGAACGTCACTGTTCGGATATTCCTAACTTAAATCTAACTGTAATAAATATTTTAGATGTTGTTTAAAAAAGTACAAAAATTTTTTAAGTATATCTAAAAAAAATGCTTCGCTATTGAAATATTTATAAAGATTTAAAATACCTAAGTCTTTATTTAACCTTAGTTTATGTGTATTTAATTTTAAAATCCAATATTTTTCTTTTTTTCTGCGTGTGTATGTGGAACTAAAATCAGAATCTATCAATAAACATATGCAGTTTTCTAATGAGTGTCCTGATTGATTAAAGTGTTTAGCTATGGGAGAATAAGGATTGTTTTGACGTATGGTTTGTTTATGATTATTGAAGCGAAATCTAAAATTATTTCCAGATTCACCAATATATCCACTATTAGAACATAAGGTGCAGAATAAATAATAGATTATGTCATGGCTATCGCATGTGAGGTTATATATATATAAATCATTAATATAAATATAAATATAAAATTTGTCACTCAGCTAAGCTGATTGATTATATTCAGCGCCTCGACTCCAGGGTTTCGTAGACGAACCTTTAAGTATTGAAACAATAATGATAGTCTGTTATTGTTGCATGAAAAATTTCAAAGCAACGACAAACTCGTGTATACCTGACGCGGAAGTGAAAATCGCGTCACAGCTCGTGACATCACACATGACCACGCGAGAGTGAAAACAAGAAGTATTAAGTATGGGAAGCCGTTGGTATAAACCAATGGCTTCAGTTCTATGGTTTCGTCCGAGTATTGGTTGATATATTGAAATGTAATTGTCATCTTTGATAATGACTTATGTAAGCCGAAAGCTTATATTCGATTTAAACATGTATCAATATCAATTTCGTCTTTCAATGATAATGTTATTAAGCTTATCAGACAATATGAAAGGAAATTACTTAAAATAAATAGACAAAACTTGTCTGTGTTATTTAATGAAACATGCATCTATGAAAAATTGCTGCCTAAATATACACAATATATTATTATTATTATTATTATTATTATTATTATAAAGAGAAAGAACAGTAATATATATAATCCGGTGTTCTTATTAATTATTTTTATTTTTCACGGTTCAACCAACATCAAGGTTCTTTTAGGTAAATAAATACCGAAATCAGACGTCCCTATCGAAATATTTCTGGCACTGAAAAAGAACCAATAAAACGCCTACTGTGAAATGGAAATTAATAAGAAAAGCTAGAATATATAGGTCATTAAATTACCCATGTCCTTTGTGCATACATGAGAAACTATACATTATTAGTTTTATAAAAAATAAGCATTTACTTAATCAAAGAAATGAAATAGCTATTCTTTGCCGACATTATCAAGGATGTTCCTTAAAAATGTTTAAAAAAGCTGATTAATGCAATATACATATTTATATTTGATATTTAATAATAATTTTTAAATAATTTAAGTAATACTATTACATTTGTTTTGTTTTAAAAGAAATATAGTCTATTAGTAATAAGAATTAGAAATTAATATTTTAAAATTCTAGTTCAATACGCTATATTCATATACAAACAATCCTTTTAGAAAAAAATCTTTATGTATACAATTACAAATTTAACGGCGAAACAAAAGTGCCGAAACACTTTTTATCGTTAATAAAGACCATACGAAATACATTGAACGGATGTTATCATTCGTTGAAAATGGCACCCCTACACTACCTTAACTTAACCTCTTTTCGAAAGTAACTCATATTTTGATACAATAGTTGTCAGTGAAAATGAATACCCTACTATCCCTTGTTAAAATGATCGAATTTCCCCGTATCCTTAGAAACTAATATTATGAATTTATGTGCTTATATAACTCAGTAAATTTCAAAATAAGTTATTCCAAAAAATCGCTTGAAAATGAAACAGGACTTTAATTTAATTCTATAATTGAATTTAAAGTTTCTAGTTTCTGCTTTTGAAACATGGTACTTCCTGTGTAGCGATGGAACCATATTTTTAAATTTACTAAATTTATAATATATATATATAAGGTGACAGGCTGTTTCATGCTAAAACAGTTGACTTTAATGTTCACTTTTATATTTACATATGCACTGTCTCTGATATTGAGCAGTTTATCCCATAAATATAGAACACCTTAAGACTATATTTCTTCATATATATATATATATATATATATATATATATATATATATATATATATATATATATATATATATATATATATATATATATAAGCGCGTGTGTGTGTGTGCGCGAACTTAGCTTTTAATCTGGCAGAACTCATGAGCAATAAAAAGTAACTTGCTAATCCGTAGAGGCACTCCCTATGAGTCATTTTTATAAAGTAATATATAAGTAATATATTGCCATGTCCATTGTTATCACGGGGTTAACAGTGGGTTTGGAGCAACATCACTTTCTTTTGCTTTTTATCAATTAAAAGTAAGAATGAAAAAATTGCCTGGAAAATTACTACTTGAAGAAAATGCCGATATCTGTCAAATTAATCCCGAGTCGAATCAAAGCAATAAAAAGTTAATAAAAATCCTCTGGGAACTTTATTTAATCCAGAAGAACTGAAAAGTCGAATGGGTGGGGTCCAGATGCCCAATCTTATGAAGAAAACATGACGTTTATTACAAATTTCAAGGCAAAAAAAATCAATCAAAGTATCTGAAAACACACGCACAACAAAAGCAGTTGTCGTGCATTGCCCTTCAAAATATAAATCGATTTAACGACACCACGTGATTAACTGTGCCGGAAATTGGACCGAAGGCTATTTATGACTTTTCACCTCGCAACCAGACGTCTTTTGTCGTCGAAAAAAAAAAAAAAAAAACTATCTTGCATTCGTTCTATTTTTTTTTCCTTTCTTATTTACATTTCTTAATTTCTCCAACTTCTCATCGCCTTCTCTTCCCAACACCCTTTTATTCTGTCACTCTGCTGCGTAAAAGTAATAACAGTTTGAAAACGCAGCCCTACGTGCCTCGCCCTAAAGCAATGGTTAGCAATCTCGGCTCATTGACGATTATTAATGCTGAAATTTCGATCTTCACCGGACACACATCAAGCACAACCTTGTGCCAAACTCAGCTAACTATAATCACTATTATTTTTTGCCCCTTATAATATTCTATTATTCCCCCCCCCCCACAATATTATTCTAACTGTTATTTGGGGGGGTTGCTAACTATTGTTCCAAATTATTCTAGGTGCTATTGAGTGGAAATAATTGTGAATCCGAATGTCCACCTAAATAACCATTAGAATTAGAATAATACAATAGACCTATCCATAATGCACCACTGACCAGTATACATAAATAGTCGAGCCAAAACACAACGCACATGGTCTGACGATTGCGTTTGAGCATGAAACTGTTGTCACTGTTGAATTCAGTGTCCACTCGTGTATATATATATATATATATATATATATATATATATATATATATATATATATATATTGGTGTCGGTGTAAATGGGGGAAGGGAGTATGTATAAATGTGTTGAGTGTGTGTCAATACAGGACAGTGTAGATGTCTTAGTCATCTGTGGTAAATAGTAGAAGTGAACCTGTTTGAATTAAAATATGCTGCCTAAATATACACAATATATATATATATATATATATATATATAAACGAAAGGGTACCAATGTAATATATATATATATATCAGGTTGTTTACGCCAAATGTAGACTACAGAGCATTATAGTGATAAGAAGACGGAGATTTTAATTATCCATTTCGATTATAATTTATTTCGTGAACACCCTTATTCACCAAATAAATTATAATCAAAATGGCTAATTAAAGTCTCCGTCTTCTTATTTTCATTAAAACGCTCTGTAGTCTACATTTGGCGTAAACAAGATAATGTCTACCCATACTGCCTTGTATCAACGTTTCAGTGGTAGTCTATTGGCATGAGAAATGTCTTCATGGCGCACAGTAGCAGCTTTGGTACCAATAAAGATCGTTCCAATGGCACAGCCTAGTTAGGAATTGTGGCTGATTATGTGCCTCAGTGTATAACCAGGGTGTCCTTGTGGGACACTTCCAGCAGAACAATGCACTGTGTCACAAATCAACAAATAATGGCAGATTGGTCCCTGAAGTATTGCAGGGAGTTTTCTGAGTGCCTCCAAATATACTGGATCTCCGTCTGCTCATATCTATCTATCTATCTATCTATCTATCTATCTCAGTCGGCTCATATCTATCTATCTATCTATCTATCTATCTATCTATCTATCTATCTATCTCAGTCGGCTCATATCTATCTATCTATCTATCTATCTATCTCAGCCTGCTCATATCTATCTATCTATCTATCTATCTATCTATCTATCTATCTATCTATCTCAGGAAGTTCATATTTATCTATCTATCATGTTTTGTATCAACAGTTCAGGTTGGTAGCTGGTGTCCAATGGAATATTTTCTTGGCATACATTGTGGCCGTTCGTACCAATAAAAGATCGTTTCAGTGCCACGTCCTCGTTAGGCATTTTGGCTGACTGTGTCCATCAGTTTATGACTAGGGTACCCCCATGCCCTGGCGGGCCACTTCCAGCAAGACGACGCACTGTGTCACAAATCAAAAAATAATGGCAAATTGGTTCCTGGAGTACAGTAGGGAGTTTTCCAAGTTAAAGTGGCCGCCATAGTCACTGGATCTCAATAATGTAAATAGTGTATATTCGTATTCGTTTGATGAAGCATTGTCAACTATTATTAATTTTTATTAATTTTCATTTATCTGATGCTTTTTATCGTCGAATCTATTTCAGGAAGAAATGAAGCGCTTCTAAGGGCAAAATTCATCCAATGTAGTACGAGAAGAAGATACACTATTTTCATTATTCGGACTATTGTCCTCATCTATGTCGCCATATTTATTACAACGTTTCGGCCGTTGTACGCTCCGACCTTCTTCAGGTGGTTGGAATGTCAAACTGAACCCTTTATTTCGCTCACTGGGGTAGACAGGTCTAGTTCCACGTGCCATGTCTAATGGATGTCAGTTAACATTAACAGGAGATAACTGATATCCATTAAACATGGCACATGGAACTAGATATATATATATATAAATATATAAATATATATATATATATATATATATATATATAGAGAGAGAGAGAGAGAGAGGTAATGGATAGCGGCTTGGATTGAGGAATCGCAGAGCCGAGTTCGAATTCCAGTCGGATCCATTACATTCACTTACGTGCTAATACCCTTGGGAAAGGTATGAATCCTCTTCATCTCCCTCCAGCTATGGGTAAAATAGCAGGACAGACTGGGTTCTATAGCCTTGGATGGCAACTGGTCTAGGAGAAGGACAACTCTGAATTCAAAACCTGCGGAGGGTCGATTGGGAACCTTGTGGCATTCGGTGCACCAGGTTTCTGTATTCGTCCCTCCAAAAAGTGTGTCCTGCACGAGGCCTTCACCACTATAATCAAATCCCATGTGCCGGTGTCGGGATGTCGGTTTCCTGGAGACTTATCGGCCTGACCCTCATACGTCGAACGCGACGGGAGAGTCGATTATATATATATATATATGTGTGTGTGTGTGTGTGTAAATAGGACAAAGAAATGGGTACCAATATAATCAGTACAATAAACATTTATTAAATATTAATTATTAACCATATGCCAGAGATGAAGCCCGTAGAGGAAGGTTTTAAATAGTATGCAAGGTTGGAAGCCAGAAGATATGAAAATAAACTGCAAAATGCTAGAAATCAAAAGCACTGTGTCGATGATCTGAACAGTCGTTCAAAACACACAACCGAATTAGTGAAACAGATGCTACACTTTGATCCTAGGCAGATGCTTGCGCCTTCTTGGTCTTATGCTTTCGAATGACTTGAAACGGAACAACCACATTGAATCAATAGCTGCAGCTGCTGCAAGGAAAGCTGGCTCACTGTGCCGTGCCAAAAGATTTTTCTTGCCAGAGTCTATCCTACATATATACAAATTCTAGCATTCGTCCGTTCGTACTGTTGCCATATCTGGTCTAGTGCCCCAGCTGTTTATCTCGAGGTCCTCGTCAAAATCCAAAAAAGGATCTGCAATGTAATCGATCCTAACTTTGTATCTCGACTCCAGTAACAGTCGCTTCCCTCTGTCTTTTCTACTAATATTTCCATGGCAACTGTACTGTCGAGCTTTTTTCTCTGGTGCCCCGGTAACATAAATTTACGTGTGCTACTAGATTGGCATCTTGCTCCCACCCTTTTACCGTTGAAATAGTAAAACGCAACCGCCACTTCTACTCCAAAAGCTTCTTTTCTCGCACTTCTCGCTTGGGGAACTCCCTTTCGTTTAATTGCTTCCCTGATAACTACAATTTTCAAAAATTTAAATGTAATGTCAATCGCCATCTCCTGATGTCTTGAACCCTGTTCATCTTTTATCCTTTCCTCATTCTCCCGATACACAGTTTTTTCCTCTCACCTTCACTCTATGTAACCCCCTGCGAACCAGTGGCACTCCCGCCTTGCTTGGGATGAAAGGCTTAAAAAAAAGTTCTGTGAAGTGACATTTTGATCATTAAGCAGGATGAATAATTATTCTGATCTATACATAAATAAACCTCCATTTTTACGCATGATATGCTTGTGTTCAATCTTCAATCTCCTCACGGATGAAGAAGAGACTTGAGGCAAGAGAAACGTGCTAATGTCACATTTGTCACGCCATTATGTATGGTGATTTTGGTTATGTTGGTTTGTACCGATGATTTCACGCCAAAGTTGCACTATGTCTGTTTCTTACTGAAAGTCAAATCAGCCATCTTTTCACAAAGATAAAGGTTTTCTTGTAATAAATAGTACAATGCATGATCTGTATTGACTACTTTTATTGTCCCCAGCTGGGAAATTTTGTCGACTACTTGTCGGTGACGGAAAATGTGAAAGTGAGTGAGAAAAATTTCTTTGCTTTTGTTACTAAACCAAACTTCTCAATTTACTCTTTTTTTTTACCAAAAAATATCATGTTCTCTCTATGTGCAGATTAGTCAATTCACGGACCAATGAAAATATCTCAACACATTCTGCTTCTTTTCCCTTTTTTCTTGCAGGACTTGTGACCGTCATCTATGTCAAATATATCGTACTTCAGAATTAAGATATATTTCCAGCAACCTGTATGGCTTTTTTAATAGTTTTTTCCTTTAGTCCTTAACCTTAAATTATTAAATTCTTATTGTTTTATTCTACGCCTTTAATTATTAATTATTACTTTATTCTTCACCGACAATGTTACAGTATGGTCCTACAGAAGGATGCTGAGTATACCATGGACTGAACATATGAGTCAAGAGAAAGTTTTAAGGAAAATGGAAACAAAAAAGACTCTTATACTTAGATTCAGAAAGAAATAGTTGCAATTTTTGGGACGCATAATGAGAAAAGGGGACTTGTAGAATGTGACACTCACAAGACATTACGAAGAACAGAGGGAAACTGCGAGTAACCTATCTAAGAATCTTGTGTAAATGGATGACAGGAGAGGGTGTTGGAGGGAGAGGAAAAAACAAACCTTAGTAAGAGCTTCAAAGGATAGGGTGTTGTGGGGTGTCATACCTTTTTTTCTGCAATCATTAAAAATATCAAAAACTTTTCACATTCATAATAAGAAATGAGTATTGTAATCCCGTCTGTTAGAAAAGTTTCAATTCGCATTCACTTTCATTTTCACATGGCTTCTAGCTTTCAAATAATCAGAGAGTAACTCTATAAACTGATTTGATTTTAAGAGTATTCAGTATATACGAAAATAGAATCTATGTGGCATTAGAATATGCTAGATGCTAACTTCATCGCACTGTATTGTGTATCTTTCATTAAAATGTCTATTTTTTCACTAGTTTCTTTTAAGCATTCACTTTCACTTTCATATGGCTTTCAAATATTCTTCAGATTGATATCTTTCTTTTTCATTCATTTTCTTATTCTCTCAATACTCAATCTTTTCTACTTCTGTCTCCCCTCCCTTTCTGTCTTTGCCTCTTATATACCACCTCTATATTTGTTTTTAAAAAAAACAATTTTTCTTCTCCTCCTCCTTTTCATCCTTCTTCTTCATCCCATCTTCCAATTTCTTTTTCTCCTCCTTCTCCCAATAAATTTTCTTCTTCTTCTTCTTGTTTATTGACTAGCCAAAGCCATTATCGTTTCCCAAAGAGAGCAGGATGCTATCTGCCAACCATTCAGCCTTGAATTCGACATTATCATCCGGTGCTCGGCTGACATGCGCACTGTTTGCTGTTGTAATTGACGAGGAAACTGATTATCACTTAAAAGCTGACATCATACTGAAAGCAGGAAAAATAACTTTCAATTCATATCGATTCTATAACGCTTCGACCAAATCGTCCCAACAATGCAAAGCGTAGGACGATGTCTGGATGAAAAAAGGTTGGCCATGATGAAATTGGCCAGCTTAGTACGATACAAAGTTAAACAGACGTGGAAAGTTAGTGTAGGGCCTATTTGCCTGCTTGAAAAGTCATCTTTCGGAACAAGCTTTTATTTGCATCAAAATTTAGGCACTTTTTATTATATTATAATAATATATTATATTACTATAATATAATATATACTTTTAGTATGTAATAATAATAATAATATATTAATATGATAATATATTATATTTTCATATTCTACGACAATAATAATAATATGAAAGAAGTAAGAAGTATTTAGTAATAATGGAAGCCAAAAAATTCAAAATGGAATTTCGAATGCATTAAGAATTGCAAGTAAACCATAATACACATATTGCAGCAGTAAAAAGCCTAGAAAAGAAATCAAAATAAAATGCAATGTCCCAAATGCAAAAACGATGGCAAGATAAGCCTCTTCGTAATCAAGACTCTGCCCGTACCAAAGAAGATGGAGTCCTGGGTAAGACGATAAACTACGTCCAACATCAAGGCATCTGATCAGAAGGTTTTGAGGAGCATGGAAACACCTTTTAGTTTCTTGTGTTCCCAGATCCACCTTGATCTGGGGTGGTATCACATGTTAGGGTCCCAGCTATGGACAAATTGTTAACCACCAAACTGGGGTCAAAACACTATGAAAGTGTAAAAATAGATTTTTCTAAAAAAATTATTACTACCAATGATTTTTTGAAGAAAACATTATTACCAGCAATACATTATTACCAGCAATACATTTTTTGAAGGAAAAAAATATTACCAGCAATATATTTTTGGAAAAAAATATTACCTCCAATAAAAATCTTGTCGGCATTAAATAACCTATTGAGGTTGATATGCCTTAAAACAAAACAAATCAAACCAAACCAAAGTTGATGTAGACAAAAACCGTACCCATAAGTGGCTACGCAATTCTGGGTTGAAAGCTGAAACCAAAAGTTTTATTCTTGCTTCACAGGAACAATGCTTGCTAACTAGAAGTTACCAATCATATTGTAATAAAGTACAGAATTAAAGAAGTACCTTGATAAGAGCTTTAATAAACAAAGAGGCACACGACGGGTCTAAGAGAAAATAAGACAAAGAATACAAATAAAAAATTTTATTGTATTTATAATACAGCAAAAGTGGATAATTCCGGAAGTGTCCAAATTCAGGAAAGTTAATGTTTATGACACACATATACTGAAAACTTGTGTTAGCTTAAAATGGATATTCTGTGATAAATATCCTGAAATAATTAACCATTTTGTATCAGGTTGAACGGTATTGGCATCCACTGATTATAAAAGACGGCATGACAAAGTGGGCCAATATCTGCACTGGACAATCTGAAAAGAAACTGCAAGAAATTGGTATGAATGCTGCCTAGACATGACTACAAATATAGGACCTGTAACAATTTTATGGGACTTTATAATCTGCCCAGATAGAACAATAAAAGTTAATCGGTCAGACATCGTGATCAGGAACTACAAAAACAAAATGTGTCCTACTTATTGACATGACAGGCCTTGAAGACAGTATGTTTGAAGATCTTCAATAAAGTATAAAAATACAAGGACCTTGAAGTGGAAATCTTAAAAATGTGGCACATGGGAATATCAATAATTCCAGTTGTAGTTGGAGCCCTCGGATCGATTGGAAAAGATTCTAATAGAATTAATTCAGGGAATCCCTGGAGCCCCTGCCTTAAAGAAATACAAAAAAAATGTACTCACAAATACATTCCACACCTTACGAAGAGCTTTATCTTTGTAAAATATGTGCGATTTTTTTTTTCAAAAACCTCACCGATATCTCCCGGAAAGGGATATAATTGTTCGAAGAATCAAAGTGGTTGTTGTAACCGGGTAGGACAATCTAGCAGGTAACCATAATGGACTGGTCCTCGTCGTAGTGGTAGGCAATAGGCGTAGGCAATAGGCGTCCTCCATGTACCTTCACATCAGTCTGTATTTATGGCTGACACCAGCCAATCATATTACTGTGCGGGGGAACCCAGGTGTATGCATATTCATTACATCACTCACAGTAGAAAATGTCATGATACCATTTTTGACCTTAGATCTCAGTTTGGAACCCGGAAGGAAATTTTTATACAACAGGAACTAGAGGAAATAATAATAATAATAATAATAATATCATGAAGGAAACTGAAACAAGAAGCGAAAAAGCTAAGCCAAAATAAAATAGAAGAAAGCTATCACCAAAAGTCTCTATACAGCCAGTTCCTTCTCCTAAGTAAAGAAAATAATGTGAATCAATTCGCAACCAACCACTGGCTAGGGAGTGTTCTGGTCCTAAAGGTGATACTGAAAGGTTTATTCATGTTGCACACGACCAGACCCCGCTTGCATACAACTAGGCAATTAAATGCCACACGTGATACAATATACACAGAAGGAACAATGAAAGCTAATCGACTAGACAACGTGACCAAAGACCACAAGAACAGAATCTATATTTTCATTGGCATGTCAGTTCCTACACATTGTAATGTATCTTTGAAGATCTTAAAAAAAAAAACTCTCAAAATACAAAAATCTTGAAGTGGAAATCTTAAAAAATGTAGCACATGGAAACATCAAAAATTCCAGTTGTAGTTGGAGCCCTCGGTTTGATTTGAAAAGGTTTCGATAGTCTCATTGAAGGGATCACTGATAGCCCAAGGTTTAAAGAAATACAAAAAATTATATTCACAAGTACAGCTCACACTTTATGGACTTTATTTACGTAAAATGTGTGTGAGCTTAAAGGGTTTTATTTTTTACAAAAATTCTTAGTGAAAAATGTCATGACGCCATTTCTGAACTTAGGTCTCTGGTTGAGACCCAGAAGGAAATGAATATTCAACAAATATCAAAGGAAATAAAACAATAATAATAATCAACTACACATGCGCACGAAGGAGAGGAGATGCTGAGAATTTTAAATTTAAATAATTTTTTTTTTATATAACAAAAAGAAAAAGAAACTAAATAAAATTTGGCTAGATTCTTTGACTAAAATAGATGTCATTTTTATTTATGTCATTTTCAATCATTTTCTGGTGCGATGGATAAATTGTCGTCTAAATTATGCAAAAAAAAAAAAAAAAAAAATCAAAATGACACTGACATCTTATTTTAATAGATATATTTACCAGAATTGCTCAAAAATATCTTGAAATATGAAAGAATAAATTTATTCAATAAAATTGCCATTGGCTTCAACCACGGCCTCCAGACGACTTTGGAATCTTCTTCAACTCTTCTTGACGGTCTCCTGGTTTAAGTTGGTGAATGTTACCATAATCCTTGCCTTCAGTTCATCTTTCGTATTACAAGGAGATTTTTTTGGTCTCTCGTTCAACTGCGCTCCACACATAATAATCAAGAGGGTTGCAGTCTGGGGAATTAGGTGGCTAGATGTAAGGGGTGATGTGGTATCAGAATTTGTCTGACAACCATGACTGGGTTCTCCTGCTTGTGTGGCATGGTGCAGAGTCCGATTGCCAAATATAGGGTCTTCCAGCAGCCACCCTCTTGACCCAGGGCAGCAGTACCTCCCCAAGACACTTGATAAGCCTCTGCGTTCAGTCTGAGGCCCCGTGGGTAGATGAATGGAAGCATAACGTCGCCATCACTAGTTATCACTCCGTCAACTTCATAATCACCATTAGACTAATCTAACCCTTTCCTCAAATTGACAACCAAACACTCTAAAATGTTCGTATTGGAGTTTCCGGTGCGAATGCCAAGTAAAACGGCATGTCGTTTCCAAATTTCTGGCAGACTGAATTGCGTCATGCTGCTCTTTTACTCACAGACAGTGCCCAGCTGATTCTATTATACAGTCGGCAAAATCAAAAACAAAATAGGCGCATGCGCGAATTTAAAAATATAAAATGTCGACAATTTACTCATCGCACCTTGTATAGATAATTTGTTTTATATTATAAAATCCTATTATATATATATATATATGTGTGTGTGTGTGTGTGTGTGTCTGTGCGTGTTTGTGTGTGTGTAAATTCAGATATATATAGAATATTTTTGTAAAAAGACAATATGACAAAAGTTTCATCTGATATACTTTATCAAGGTAAGGATTTTGTTTTGCAGACGTGTTTTAAATTTAAAAATGTTCATGAACTATTGTTTATATCTATCTCTTAGTTCAGATGTATCTATCTATATATGAAAATTATGATAGATCACAATGTTGCTATCTATCTATCTCTCTACGAACGCTGTGATAGATAGATAGATAGATAGATATAAGAACAAAAAGGCGATTCAGCAAAGTGTACAGGTTAGAAAGCAAATCTCAAAAGCCATTACTACAGGAGGGAATTCAATGTTTACTCGGTGCTCCATTATTGTAGCCTTGTGTCAGGTTTAACTGATGCGAAAGAAACAATTTTTATGAACTTTGATTCAACAAACTAAGAAAATGTAAATCGCAAAAGAAATATCTAAGATTGCATTAAAAATATTTAAAATAAATCTTTATTTCAGAAGCTGAAATAAGAAAGAGAGACAGGGGAAACGAAGAAGAAATTTGAAATGTATTTTCAAAAAAGATGAAATCCATTATTTGTACGTGCAAATATATCAATGGAACTCTTTAATAAATGAAGTCCCGAAGAATCAATGTCTCCTTTCGTGATTAAACGAAGAAATGCAACGCCCCGCTTTCAATATCTGATAACAACTGATTCTTCACTTGACGCAAGAGTCAATTTGTTTTTGGCCTACCTGATAATCGACACAACCAAAAAAGAGACAAAAAATGAAAAAGATTTACGCATACACGGACAACTGCATGCACAAATGTAAAGACGAAGGTGGATGGGAGAAAGAAAATCTTACGCTCGTCAAAGCAAGGGAACACAGGGAAGCATTTGTTTATTGAAAAACGCAGAAAGCTTGTCGACTTGAAAACGTGGGTTAAGAAGAGGTTCGTGTCGCAGGTTGTTTGCCATGGACTTCAATCCTCACTGGGTGCATTCTTTTTTATGAATCTATGTCAGACAAGTATAATAAATACGCACCTTCTGCCGAAGAGCAATGCTTAGCAAATTGCTTCTGACTGCATGACCCACTCAACTTCCCCTGCTTCGAAACGTAACCTAACGTAAACAATGTCAACATATCAGATTAAATGGCTGAAACCCGACAAATATTTTAATATACAGGGTGTCCATAAAGTTTGTGTGCACTTTAAAAAATTTATAACTTTATTTGTATTTGCGATAGAAATAATCTGTAAAAAACGTTATAAAGTTTAATGTACTTAGTTTTAAGTATAGCTAAAATAACTAATGTGATTTCAGACATTACTGTAAATCAGTTGGCAAATATTTTCCGTGAACTGCAAAATCGTATTACCCTTTGTATTGCTAATGATGGAGGACATGTGAAAACTTAAATAAAATTTCAATAAACCTTAAAAAAATACAGATTTACTTCTTTCTAATACTTTTTACAAAGTATTTCTATTGCAAATACAAATAAAGTTATAAATTTTTTTAAGTGCACACGAACTTTATGGACACCCTGCATTTTCTGTTTATACGTTATTTTTTTATTTTAGGTTATGTTTCGGAGCATAAATGATATATCGAGAAAGATCGTCAGATATGTGTGTTTATAAGCAGTAATTTGGACTTTGCTAACTGGCAAAGTTCTCTGTGGCTGAATGGTTAGCAGCACGTCAGGTTATATAACAGTTTAAGTATGGAATACAGGTTCTATTCCTGTCGGAGAACGCACTTATCTCGAACATTTAGCCCGGTAAATGTAATTAATACTGTTTAACTACATTTTGCTCGGTAAATGTAATATTGTTTAATTAAAACAGAGCATTTGTATCCATAAAAATAACGTATAAACAGAAAATATATTTAAAATATTTGTCGTATTTAATTCATTTCATCTAAGATAGATAGATAGATAGATAGATGCTGTGGGCTAGAAGGGAATTCCATCATACCCCACACCAAACATAAACTTCTTTTGTATTATCTTGTAGCCCAAGGTCCTGTGGCACATTAATCAAATGTTAACTAGCAGTAAATTAATCCCCACTATACTAGAAACACCCATTTGTAACAGACCCCACTACCCAAAAGAAAAAAAAAAGAAAAAGAAATCAGGATGGTGGGGGGGGGGCTTAAAGCCAATAACAATACCTTTTTTTTTTGTTTTGTCAAATTTCAATAAATTTGATATCGTTATGTTGGGCAACAATCACATAGAAAATTATTGACACCCGTAAACTGAACTTCATTGCTATTTTCCCGTAGCCTTGCGTCCTGTTAAACAACAACAAAAAAATGTTACTAACAAATACTTTTATTTGCATCTCACCAAAAGCGTCAGTTTTTTACCACGTCACCTGAATAGCATACATAATTTATATTTGTGGATAGGAAAAAATATCTCAAACCAATAAATTCTCTTTGGATTAAACTTGGTATTATTTTTGTTGTGGTGTCCTCCCTCTGAAGGAATCTATGTTGGACTCTTCCGCCTACTATAAGATTAGTAGGAGAGAAGGCTTTGGGGGAAACATTCGAATAGATCTGTTTCAGCTGTACTGGTCAAACTCTCTGCCTCTAGGCAGGGAGGATCCCCAAACGAGGTTATGTCGAAGGGCAGTCTCGTCTCGGGAAACAGCTACCCGGCCCCGTTTTATACGGGGTCTATGGGGAATTTTTGGCCTAGCCTACGGGCTCGGATTACTCCACATTAAACTCGGCCTTGTGTCAAATCCTACCGTGTGGGAATGCTGGTAAATATAACAGTCGAATAGATTGAACGCTGGGTCATCCGACACACACTCAATCGTCGTGTAATACTCTTCTGTTGTACTTACTGTTTAATATATATATATATATATATATATATATATATATATATATATATATATATATATATATTGGATGATTATAGCTGTATTATACATTTTATCACGGGTAACAAAATAGATAATTAATGATGCCATAAGATTGGTAAATTTAAAATAATAAGAGTACGAAGAAATCACACTGCCATTTTAAAAATAACTTCTGAGATTTCCTCAAAAGTTTGTGGGATCTCTTTCAGACAATAAGACATTCCCTTCAACGATTACTAAGCAACTTTCTGATTTTTTTGGAAGTATTCTATTGTCAGTATCCTTGACAATGTATTGAACCATTTTTCATTTGTCAGTGTCGGAGTTAACTCCTCCTTAATTTCCAAATTCTTCACCAGGGGTCTCTCTCCCCATGCTATAAATACCTAGCGACCTCTTGCCTCAATCTCTTCTTGCCTTCAGGCCTCGTGCCAAATCCCATCTCGTGTGGAGGTGAGGTAAATCTCTTTTTCTTCTTCATTTCAGCGACAAGATGTAATCTCTTAGAAGATCAGCGTTTCCCATTTCAGGGAAAACTCTATGAACATTACAAACATTCACCAAATACAAACGTTCACACACACACACAATGTTAACTATCTATGTGCTTTGTAAATGTTTTGTTTAATACATATATTTGTTTATATATATCGGCCTTGTTTGTTTGTCTTCCTTATCTTCAGTTGGACTTAATCCGAGTCCGACATTTTCATATTGTAGCTGGACCTTCTAGCAGGAAATATAAACGCACGTGTTTTCTTTACATCTTCACCCCACAGTCCTCTACATCAGTCTGGGTTTTAAAAAATTGTCTGGAAGCTCTCTGCTATAAGAGACACAGAGACAAGTGGGTAGGTTTTTAAGACTAAGCTTTTGAAATGCACCTTTTGCTATTTCTTCGGATTTCGGTGTCACATTACTTGTCCTCAGTTAAGAAACCGCATAGATTTTTTTTTAAATTCGTACTTTTAGTGTCTCCAGTTCGTAGTTCCTTTATTAGTTTGTTAAACGGCATATCAATACTTTATGGGTCATTTCATGCCGAAGATTTAATTTTCTTGGGAGCTTTGAAGTAGTAAAAATATGATGTTATTCTGCTTTCACAATTGAATAAATGGTAGATGATACTCAGCTTTTGTGCATATATATATATTTATGTTGACATTGTTACTAGAGGCAGTGATACATGTGTTTTATGTTGTATTTTTGTTGAAGTTATATTTTTGAATACAGTTTGATTTCTTTAAGAAACTGTAGGATGTTATATAAGATTAATGTCATGTAAGAGTTCATTCATGTCGGTTGTTTGGTAGGATTTTAAACGGATTTGGTTGCAGACGCTACAATTTGTCAGTAAGTGTATACCTCTTGGTATGCTGTACAGATTGGAGGTAGGTCTCGTTCTAGATTATAAGTGTGTGTTATGAAGTGGCCGATATAAAGTTTGGGTGTTATTACTTCATCTTTCCTTGTTTTTAGTTTTTTTTTTTCGTAGTTCGTATGTTTTTGCTGACTAATATACACTATCTTAATTGATGTTTATTCTATCCTTGCTTTCATTAACTACCTTCTTTTGGAATTCTTGTAGTTTAATTTCCGTGTTTACTATAAATATTGTGTCACCTGTATATGTTATGCTGTTAAAAGTGTAGTCACCAATAATGAATCCTGGTAGGACTTCTAATTCTATGACGATTGCTTCACTGTAAAGATTTAATAAGTCCAGTGGGAAGATACACGTCTTACGTACTTTTCTGTTTTGGTTTATTTACTGAATTCTGTTTGTTTGTTTTGTTTTGTTTTACGGCATATCAACCTCAATGGGTTATTTAATGCCGACAAAATTTTCATTGTTGGTAATATTTTTTTTTTTTCCCAAAATCGATTTCTGATAATATTTTTTCATTCAAAAATCAATTTTTAGTAAGAATTTCCCTTTCCTGGTAATATTATTTTTTTCAAAATATGTATGGCTGGTAATATTTGTTTTTCAAAAATGTATTCCTGGTAATAATTTTTTTATACAAAGTATTTCTGGTATTAAAATCTATTTTTACACTTGCATAGTGTTTTGATCCGAGTTTGGGGGTTAACTATTTGCCCATAGCTGGGACCCTAACAGGTGCTACCACCTCGGGTCAGGGTGGACCTGGGAACACCAGAAATTAAGAGGTGGTTCCACACTCCTCAAAACCTCCTGATCAGAGGCCTTGCTGTCGGACGGAGTTTTTCGTCATACCCAGGACGTGGATGTAGTTTATCGTCTTACCCAGGACGCGGGTGTAGTTTATCGTCATGCCCTTTTACTAAATTCTATCTGTATTCAGTCAGTTTGTTCGAGGTTATTCTATCTTTCCCAAAT